CACCCAAGCACACATAAACTTGGACGAAAGGTCAGACTCGAGTTTATTTACAAACAAAGTGCATTACTTGCATTCCCTAAAGTAATACTACTAGGGAAGCATTCACTATTACCCAGAAGTCCCTTAGGACTGTAAACTCCTCTCAGAGCAATGATAAAGTATCCAGCCCCTTCCGTCCAAAAGAAGAGATTTGATTGTCCCTTGGCTTTGGCTCGGTAAATGTATCCTCTTTGGAATAGCCAGGTGGAACATGCTTTTCTGTTTTCTTTAACATGGAACAAATGTGCTGAGTCTAAAAGAGACTATACCTATCAGTTAATCCTTTTTTAAAAATTATGAAACATTTTAAGTACATGAGAAGTGCAGAGAACAATATACAATGATACCTACCACCCAGAATTTCAAAAACTTAACGTATGATGAATACATTTATTTCAGAATAAAACATTACACATACAGTTGAAGTCTCTTTATATCTTTCCCCAAATGTATTCCCCTTTCCTCCTGGAGGTAACTACTTTCCTGATTGACATGTAACCTTCATATAAATGGCACACATATGTGAAAACTACATGTATATGAAAAGTATATATCCACAAATAATATAGAATGGTTTTGCGCATCTTAAAACAATTTTTACGATAAATTGCCCAAGTCTTATTGTACTATCAATTATTAGTCTGCAATTTTTTTGTTACTTACTATTATTTTTTCAAGATTCATAAATATAGATCTAGTTTATTCAGTTTGCTATTGGTTGTATTCCATTATGAGGATACACTAATTTGTTCATCCATTTCACCTACTGGCAGGCATTTTAAAACTGTAAATTTGCAAATATCACAGACCATGCTGCTGTAATGAATCTCTTTGAGCATTACTTTAGGTATACATGTGCATGAGTTTCTCAAAGATTTACACCATGCAGGGGAATTTCTGTGTTTCTAGCTTTTAATCTAAATATGACTCTATCATCTTCAAGGGCAGAATTTATCTTCAAACAGCTTTGATCTTGGGGTAACAGATTTAGTAGGACCAAGGATTGCTAATGGGTGATATCATCTTGTGAAATAATTAAGATACATTTACTTCTGGGACATTTAGACATTGAAATTTTTAAATCAGTTAATAACTATAACTCATCAGTTTGTGTATTAGAACTTACCTAGCATAAATAATTTTCATTACAAGCTTCTGTTTTGTTAGTATGCATTCTCTTCACCCTAGTGTTTTAGTAAAAAAAAAAATCTTAGTTCCTCTAGAGAAATCTCAGAATTATACCTCTTCCCATCTTTCATAACCCAAAGGCTATTTTTTCAATCATACTGCATATAAATTAGTTATATTAATAATAACTGCTCAGTGCAAGTTTTAGATCTTTAGATAATAACTATTGTTACCATTCTGTGTTTATCTAATTTCAGCCAAGAATCTTTATATTTTAGCTATACCATGATTTCTTCAAGGAAACCTGCTAAAATTATATCACTGGTCTAGAACCCAGCTGAGCTCACCTGTAAAACCTAAACTTTTGAATTAATAAACATTATTTTAGCTATTAGCATATTAAAACATTTCATTTCAACTATTTATATGTGTAAATCAGATGTTAACTAGAAAGGTGTGAGACAAAAGAATCAAATGTTAGGAGCAAAGTAAATCAATGACCAGTATAAATGAGGTATTGTCATTGTCTTGTTTTCCATCCACAAAGGAAATAATGCGATGACTCGTTCATTCACATTTGCTTGGGAAAGATGTGAGAGCTGATATGTAGCTTTAGCCATATTTACTGAACTTATTTAATTCAATTAGTTTAAATAAATCAGGTTATCTCAACTTAGAACATAAGATGGTATTATCTTGGGGGGGGGGGGGGCGTAGAAGGGGATAAATTGCCAAACATAGCAGAAATAAAAAGTCTTTTTTTCCATTCCTGACTTCATAGATATCCTCTAAACTTTAGATGACCTGATATCATTCCAGAATGGGCCAGAAACCCTGGATTCTCCCCGACTCTGAGTTGTACTGCTGAAGCTGATCAAAAGGAAGCAACCCACAATTTGTATATCAGTACCAACAAGTACCCAGGTGTTCATATTTCAAGCTCACCAGATAAAAACAAAAGTTTACTTTTGCTGAAAAGAAAGTGTATGTTTGCAGGCACTCCCTAATGATGTTACTTATGGTGGCCAGTTTTGAAGGTCAAGATTACAGATGGGAGAAAATTTTGTTTTTAATTTGAACTTCAACCGAATCCACCAGTTGAGCGCTACTGACTTAGGCCAATGCTGAGGCCAAGGGCTTCCCTGTCCACCATCTCTCTATATGGGGCAGCCTCAGAAATTAAGTCCAGATCCAATAATAGCTAATGGTTTTTAGCACTTACTGTGTGTCAGGCACTGTTTTATTCATTGTGTTAATTCATTGAATCCTCATATAACCATATGGGTCAAATGCTATTATCATACACATTTTACAGATGAGAAAACTGAGACATAGGTTAAGTACCTTACCTAAGTCATGTAGCCCCAGAGCTTGGGCTCTTGAGCACTAGACCACACGGCACATTTTACATGGCTCCGGTACGGCTACACATTGGTTGTGTCTAGAGCCCTCCATAACCTAGGAAATTGGATCTGTTCTGGAGCCATTCCAGGTTTGGGGACCCCACTGCCAGATCCAAAATCCAGAGGACAAGACAAAGGAAACCAGGAGTTGGACCTTCCATTCACTCTGAGGAGGACATCAAAAAGTTCTTGGAGATGCTTCAAATCAAAGCCAGTATAGAGCAAGATCACCTTGGGTTTTTCTCCAGGCTATCATTTCACAAACCCATTAATAATCCTTCAAATGCTACTGGCTGAACTACTATCAGCACTGATAGTATGATAGTGATGAGAGATCTCTTTGGTCAAATAAATACGTAAAAGGCAACATTCTACTGATGATTAACTATGAACCATAATAAGTATGAGCATATTGAAGGCTCATAGAAATTCTGCAATAAGGAGACACGTTTAACTTTGTGCCCCTTAACATTTCCATGGAACAGAATTTGGACGGTGCTCCAGAATGAAACTGACCAGTGGCACCTTAAGACTGCCGAGAAAAGATATAGATGCTCTCTGGTCCACTTTGTCTTGAAAACATTCCACAAGGGCAGTTATAGCCCCTGCACACCCCCTCCTCCCAGCCTGGCCTCAGGGAGGCCTTCTTCTTTGAGAACTTTGGCAGAGCCTGGGTTCTGAGGTTGGTACACCACACTCCCAGGCCTAGGCTTAACTTCGTAAGTCTCCTTGGACTTTTCTATCAACGTCTTAATGTGTGGCCGTGACCAACTTGAAAATGAGCCATTCAGTTCTGATCCCAAAACCAGGCAGCAAGACATTTTGTTTGGATTTTTAGATGATCTTTGGCAACTTTCCATATAAGTGGTTCCTCAAAAGGCAGTGAGTCATAAACATCCATTATGGACAGGAGCAACTGGGTAATAATAGAACGGACAAATGCTGTCCTTATGGCCTTTTCTCCAAAGGAGGGCTAAATTAAATTAAGTTTGTTCCCACAGTACATTACTCAGTGTTTCGTATGGGTATGAGAAACCTGGAAATCACAAAGCAAGCCACAGATGAATTACTGTTAAGTCAAGTCACACAACTAACAGAAAGTTAAATTCTTCTGCGGCCAAGCACAACATTTAGTCCCCAGTCTATCAAAGATCACCGAGCCAGGAAGTGACCACTTTAGAGGTACCTACTGTTCCAACCAACCAAAGATCTCAAAGCACTTTACAAGTGTAAACTGATTAGGATTTTCACTTACTGGAGCAGAACCATACATAGGGTAGTGAAGTTGTTTTATGAGATCCCACCATCTTCTCTTTTTTCAGTTGCTAGGGAAGATAGAGTTAAGACTGACATTTTTTAACCACTTAATTGAGGTATGATTGAGATATATACATTTATACATATTTTATATGTAAAACTTGATGAGTTTGGAAAAATGTATACAGCCATGAAACCATACCATAATCTATGCCATTAATATATCTATCACCTCCAAAAAGTTTTCTCCCTTCTTTTTTTATTTTTATTACTATTATTTCGTGTGTGTGTGTGTGTGTTAAGAACAGTTAACATAAGATCTACCTTCTTAGAAAAGTTTTAAATATTCAATACAGTATTGTTATCTTCAGGCACGATGCTGTAGATTAGACCTCTAGGACTTATTCATCTTATATAACTGAATTTTAGTAGTAATCTTTGACTAAGACCTCCATATTTCCTCCTTCTCTCAGCCCCTGTTCCACTCTCTGCTTCTATTAGTTTAACTATTTTAGATTCCTCATATAAGTGATAACATGTAGTATTTGTCCTTCTGTGTTTGGCTTATTTCACTTAGCATAATGTCCTCCAGATTCATCCATAGTGTCACAAGTGGCAAGATTTCCTTCTTTTTAAAAGCCAATAATATTTTGTTATATATATATAATACTTTTCCTCCATTCATCTGTTAATAAATAATTAAGTTGATTCAATGCCTTAGCTATTGTTCATAATGCTGCAAATATCTCTTTGAGGTCCTGATTTTTATTCCTTTGGATATATACCCAGAAGGAAGATTACTGGATCATATTATGTACTTGCTATAGTGCTATCCATGAAAATCATAAAGATGATTAATGTCATTTTGTGTTTGTTAAGTTATAATTGTCATAAGAAATACATGAAACTTTTCATTAGATTCTTACAATAATAACCTGAAACTGTTATTATTGTAAGAATCTAATGAAATCTGAACAAAGAAAAGGGTGATAACTACGTGACCTTGGCCATAGTTCTCTGTTTCTATGACTTTAGTTGCCTCAAATCAAAAGAGAGGATTAAAGAAGAAAAATTACTAAGTTTCTTTTAAACTTTGAAATTTTATTAATATATCACAGCCTGTCATAAGATTGGAAATAATCCATTATGCAGAATTACATAATTTGTATTGAACTATTCATGTGAGTTTCCCTTAAAATTCCTCAAAGAAATGGTAGACTCCCTTTCAACAATAGACTAGAAGAAGCAAAGGAACAAATTAGTGAGTTAGAAGATAGGGGACAGAAACACACCCAATCTAAACAACAACTGGAGAGAAAAATTAGAAAGCAGGAGAAGAACCTAAGGGAGCTTTGGGACAACATGAAACGAAACAATATACGAATAATAGGGGTGCCAGAACAACAGAAAGAGGAACAAGACTTAGAAAACCTATTTGAAGAAATAATATCTGAAAACTTCCCTGAGGCGGGGAAGAAAAAAGTCACACAAGCACAGAGGGTCCTAAACAAGGTGAACCCAAAAAGACCCACACCAAGACATGTGGTAATTACAATGGCAAATGTCAACAACAAAGAGAGAATCTTAAAGGCTGCAAGAGAGAGACAGAGAGTTACCTACAAAGTATCTCCCATTAAATTCTCAAATGATTTCTCAACAGAAACACATCAGGCCAGAATGGAATGGAATGAAGTATTCAAAGTGATGCAAAGCAAAGGACTGAATCCAAGAATACTCTATCCAGCAAGGCTATCATTCAAAATTGAAGGGGAAATCAGGAGCTTTGCAGACAAAAAAAAAAGGCTAAGGGAGTTTATCACTACCAAGCCAGCAATGCAAGAAATGCTAAAGGGACTGTTGTAAAAAGAAATAGAAAGGAAAGAAGGAACACAGACATAAAGAATAGAAATGGCTACAAACAAGTACCTATCCTTATATATAAAAAGCCAGGGACCGTCACAACCAAAACAACCGGACGGATGACCGAACAGCAGGCTGTGTGAGGTGACCAGGCCAGCAGGGGTGGGGGTGGAAGGCAGTGAGGGACAACCAAATGACTAAACAGCAGGCTGCATGGGGCAACCAGGCCAGCAGGGGGGGCAGTGAGGGACGACCAACTGGGGGCGACCAGGTTGGTGGGGGGGGCACTGAGGGGCGACCTGGCCAGCAGCAGAGGGCAGTTGGGGTGACCAGGCCAGAAGGGGGGCAGTAAGGGGCAATCAGGCCGGCAGGCAGGTGAGCGGTTAGGAGCCAGTGGTCCAGGATTGTGAGAGGGATGTCTGACTGCCAGTTTAGGCATGATCCCCAGGATTGAGCCTAAACTGGCAGTTGAACATCCCCCGAGGGGTCCCAAATTGGAGAGGATGCAGGCTGGGCTGAGGGGACCCCCTGTGCACGAATTTTGTGCACTGGGCCTCTAGTCAATAATAACCTTAAACATAAATGGACTAACTGCTAACACACACAGCAATCCTAAATGACTCACTAGATCAGATGGACTTAATTGATATCTTCAGAACATTTCACCCCAAAGCTACAGAATATACATTCTTTTCAAGTGCACATGTGACCACATATTGGGACAAAGGCAAACTCTTCAAATTCAAAAAGATTGAAATCAGATCAAGCACCTTCTCAGATTACAATGGCATAATATTAGAAATAACCACAATAAAAACAATAAAAAAATTCAAACACTTGGAGGTTAAATAGCATGTTATTAAGCAATGATTGGGTTACCAAAGAGATCAAAGAAGAAATAAAAAACATCCTGGAAACAAAT